TATCGGATTACATTTTTTATTTCTCTACGATATCCGATCCAGTAATTTAGGTCAGTATCGGACCGATACAATACGTAATATCGGATCGGTCCATCTCTAGTTTTAATATATTGTTGCAAGTAAAAGTCACAGTGATTTAGTGGTCATTAAAATGTGCTCTGGATTTGCATTAAGGATTTAATGATTTAATGATTCATCTGTAGGGTCCTGACAAACTACTGCATTCTGTACACTAGTGTTAGCTAGCTGTGTCGCTTTGTAGCAATTAAAACCAAAAATCTGAAGTGTTTCCAAATAATGATAACGATGATCCGCTTAAAGCATGCTGGACATTTGAATTTTATATTGACATCTGGTCTGTGTAGTTCATGTTTTGTTGTTACTCGTCCAGGATACATCCAGGAAAAATGCAGGAAGCTGTGATTGGCACATGTAGGCAGTGATTCAGTGAGCGCTTGATTTGCAGAGGATACATTTTAGCTGTTAGGAGCCAAAATTGTGATCAAGATTAAAATTTAATTAACTGCAGCCCTAAGAACGGTGTTCAAAAAGCACCGTGTAGAGTTACTCTCATTATTAATCAGAGTCTTCATGTTGATTTGTAGATTTTAAATGCAACAGGATGCATTTTCACATCGCTTGGCAACCGGTAAATCTTAAAAGAATGAGATGGAATCATTAAAAGCACCAGCTTCACCATCAATAAACATGCTACTCCCTTTGGGAAATCTCTGCAGAGCATGCCACGCATTTAAACTTCAGTGTAATATAAATTATTAAATTTAAATTCAGAGGACATTAATTCTTTCTAACTTGTAATTCGTTGCATGAGAGCTCATGCAAATGGCCTCTTTTGCAGAATAACAGATGGCATAAATGTAAAAGACAAATCGCTGTATACTGATGTTTTATGTCACCTCTTTCTGCCATGCACACTTTCATGATGAAGCACTGATAAGCCACACTGCTCATCGTGCTCACCACGTATGGAAGCCCTAAGGTTAAATTCACTCAGCAATGCACACGACAGATGGGAGTGCTGCAATGAGGAGAGGACGTCTCATATTCATGTCGCCCAAATGACTGTGAAAACCTGCAGTTTGATCGCTGTCCAACTTTAGCTCTCTGTCCCATTACTTCCTTTTTTTGACACAGTTGGGATTTAGCGAGTCAGAAAGTGAAGTATTGGGCGTACAGCTCCTCTTCTTTTGTGACGTATTCTTTGCTTTTTCCTGGATTCATCCGCGCAGGGTCCGATGGTGTCGCAGAGTTGGCTTCAGGAAGGCTGAGGGAGGGAAGAAAAACATGTGTTAGAATAATGAG